ATATTAGTTGAAATATTGAATCAGTTTTGAAATTTTTTGAATTTTTACTTGTAAATAAAAGTTATTTTCATGCCATTTAAATGATTTAAATTCAAATTTTTTATTAATTTTGTCGAAATTTATAAAAAATTATTGCAAAAAGTTGTTTCAAAATTATTCATACAAAATTCAACTTTTATATTTTATGTAAATTAATATGTGAGAGGGAAAAAAAGTTTGAAGTTGCTTGGAAAGTTCAAAGTTCCCTACAAGGCTATATATAAGCGATGTTTTTATTTCAAAAATTATTTCAAAAAAAAAAATGCTTAACTGGTTTGGTCATCTTATTGTTTTTCTCTTCACATTTACCCAATTAAAATGTCATCCAGATCTTGATCCATTTTGGGATAGACGTCGCTACCAAACTATCAATGATATGATCGATACTACCACTGATACTACTACTACTACTATTACTAGTAGTACTGATACTACTAGTAGTACTGATACTACTAGCAATGATTTTACTAGTATTGATTCTACCAGTATTACTTCTACTAGTACTAATCCTAGTAGCACTGAAATTACTGCGATGAATAGTTATGATAAAGGAAGTGAAGAAATCTCATCTACCAATGAAAGAAAAAATGATAAGATTAGTACTGTAAAGATTAATGATAAAGATGAAATAATGACAACATTAACAGGATATCTGATATCATTATCTCGATATGAAATTAATCAATACGATGATAAATTGGATGAATCAATGAAATCAAGAGATTTTGATATTATCATTGTTACATTGATTTTCACTTTATTTATATTACTTTGTATTATATTTGTTTTGCTAATTATGCAAAAATAATTTTAATTTTATGCTTTTTTTTTTGTTCAGTCATTTTTTTTTTCATAAATTAAAAATGTAAAAAAAGGAAAATTTCAGCTAAATTTCTGAAAAAAAAAAGAAACCAAAAAGTGATCAGTGATTATTTTAATGTCTATTTTGACCAGTGATTATATTAATTTATGTTTTTATCAGTGATTATATTAGTCTATATTTTTAACAGTGATTATATTAGTCTATATTTTTATCAGTGATTATATTAGTCTATATTTTTATCAATGGTTATATTAGCCTGTATTTACCAATGGTTATGTTAGCCTGTATTTTTATCAGTGATTACATTAGTCTATCCTTTTATCAGTGGTTATATTAGTCTATTCTTTTATCAGTGATCATATTAGTCTACTCTTTTATCAGTGATTATATTAGTCTATGCTTTTATTAGTGATTATTATTTTAGCGTATATTTTATTGATATGTATTTTTACGAAAAGAATTGTATCCGCGAATGTATGGAAGTTAAAAAAAAAATAAAAAAAGTATAAATGAATTTCTACAGATACAAGAAACACCCGAAAAATAAAGTTCAAAGATTTTAGAATCATTTTAGATGCATAATCCTAATTTGCATTGTACTTAGCTTATGTTCACACTTTTAAAATTAAATGTAAATTTATTATTTTAAGCTAAGGAAAGAATTTGAATTTTGATGTAATCATAACATCTAAAAAGCTATTATCAACAAATTGGATGATAAGTTATGATGAATAAATTTTAATTTCCTACTACTATGATATCTTTTATCTATAATATTTAATTGAAACAATTTTCATTCGATTAAACTCATTGCTTGTCGACAATGGTCAAAAAAAAAATAAACGTTACACTTAAGATTAAGTCTAAATTTTACTAATAAATTCATAACAAATTTAGTAAAAATTACTCCATTTTTTTTCTCTTTTCAGTAAATGCTAATGACCATTAATAATTTTGTTGAAAATACTGTCTTCATTTTACTCAAAAAAATTGTCAACGATAATATAATGACTCATTTATTAGCAATGTATTAATTAATTATCACAATGTACTTTGCGACATTTTAGCCATTTATTTGACTTGGAATAAATGCTAACCTGAAATAATTTGTAACTGTAATCACAAAATGATCTAGAAGATAATGTAATCTAGAATTGTTAACTATTTGTGATGTAATAGCTAGTTAGTACCATAAAAAGGGACATAGGAATTTTTTTAGATAAACTAATTGTTTCATCATTTTTCAAATGAACTAAAATATTAGTTGTATTTAAAAAGAATCTCATGAATTTGACTTGGGATTTCACTAATCATTATTTTATAAAAACTAACAACTCATAGATGATATCATCATATCAGATTAGATCAGATCAGATCGGAGAATCTGAATCTTCTCTTTTAGCATGGTTAGCATATGTAATATGCATTAACAAGTTTTACTTTTCGTTATTTCTTAATTCAATATACTTCGTTTGAAATTGATTTATTAGTTATTATGGCTCGTTCATACAATTAGAAAGCTTCCATTACGGTAGTATTGAGGAATATTCTAGAAGCTATTGAAATCAGTTTTAATAGTAAAGAATTGTAGAAGAACAGATAATATAAAAAACTGATGTAAGAAATCAAATGCATCGTCTTGTTATAGTTGAACAGGAAATGTGACCGAATGGTTTGTTAACAGTTTACCGGTTCCGGTTATCATAGCAACTTCTATGATTTAGACGAAAAAGTATGAAGATATATGAAGAAAAAGATGGCTAACAGTTCTTTTTTTTTGTCTTTTCACATCATTGATCTAATCCCAAATGAATAATTAATGAATTTCTCAAGATTTGCTGTCCACTTCACTCTACATTTACCATTTATCATAAATGGAATCAATCACTTCTTATCGTTTGGTTAAAAGTATGGAATAAAAATGATCAGAAAAAAAAAGAAATTGTGGAAACTTGACAAAAAGTGAAATATGAACTTCATTGGCACAATATTAGTATGATTCATTTAATTTGAAAAAGATAAATTTCCAATTTTCTTTTTTTAGGTTCAAAATATGTCATTGAAATTCATTCAACATACATACATATGTTGCCTCTTCTGACAAAAAAAAAAAAAAAAGAAAGAAAGAGCACCAGTTGTAGTAATGCTATTTTAAAAACCTGTTTTCTTTCATATCATTGACTTACATATCAATTCATTAAACTAGGATGACAGACGATCAAAATGTGACTATAAGCATGTTAAAAGCTCAATATTGTGCCTAACTTTCGATTTTTTTTTTTTAATCTGTTTTAACCTTGAAAATGTCTCATTTGAAGAATTACTGTTACTGTTTGCATCTCGGCAAGCCTATCTTAGTTACCTATTAAATCATATGATCATATTTTTAATTGCACAATTTACCAATCTGTTTCATCATATTTCCTTAATTTACAATTGATAAATTTAGGCTGAACAGTTTATCGCAGTCATCTCTTTTTGCTTCACCCTTTATACTTTTTTACATAAGCTCAACTCCTCCTGAAAATTAGGATTAAAATTAGTCGGAGGAAAATTTTGCAATTTTTTCTTAGCTTATTTTTTTTCGAAATGCCTGACTATATGTCGATTTTTGAGCATTTGCTCGAGCTGCCCGACTAAGTGACTGAACGAGCTGTCGAATTAAGCAACTGCCCGAGGCTTTTGGTTTGGTAGGTGACCACCTGAATGACTGATCTTAGCTCCTTATATGGTGGGAATAGTTTAACATTCCACAAACAGTGGCTTAATCGCCAGAGTAGAGGTTTTTCACAAAGTTTTGATATTTGTATGTAAGCCTAGTTAATGCATTGGAAAGAATTCACAACAAAGGGTTCGATCTATAACAGCTAAGCATTGCGATTAAGATTGGCTAAAAAAATTGGAAGAGCTGGATTTGGATAAGTGATTCATCGCTTCACATATCAGAATATTTATTTTATTGATTTTGTTAACAAATCATTTACCCGCGAAATATTTTGAATTCTAATTAAAATAACATATAACATTTTTTCAGGTTTGCCGACAAAAATTGCTAAGTAGAGCATGTAAGACGCATAGATTTCGATCTGTTTGATCTGCAAAATTTTTTAAAAATAATTGATTGCATTTTTAAATGCGAATATATAATGATAACAATATGCATTAAGTTCACGAAACTCAAAACATGTAAAATCTTGCACTTAGAGTATCCAAAATTTTATCAAATTATTAAGTATGACAATATAAGCATGACAACCATTCAAGTAAGCCTGTATGATAATGTAGGGCAAAGCACGCAAACATACATAAACAATTAAGTGCTGAAAGCAGTGAAAACAATTTTAATTACAACTGCAAAGAAATCAAACAAATCCTTAAGAAAGCAATTACAATGGATTGTTAGCAATCAAAAAATGGTAAGCTACCACTGAATGAGCGGCAATTTCAACTGGATGGAGGAACAACATGATTGTACTTAAAGTCAGTGCATCAATTTTCCAAAGTTTTGAATTTCATACGGAAAAAAAACTAAAAATTAGTATCCATTTAACTTTACCGATGATAGAAACAGAGTAGTAATTTCTCACATTCAAAAACCTACTTCCGTTGTCACTCATGAATTCATAAATCCAGATAGAAGAATCAATAGAAGCAAAATTCAAGCGAATTATGAATCATATATTCGAAACAGCATCGAATTTTGCAAAACGAATTTCGATTTTTCCGTTTATTGAGAAAACACAACCATGGCTTGAATGAAGCAAATTAAAAAATTTAATTTATCTAAAATCATGTGAAAACACAACATATAAATCGAAAAGATTTAAAAATCCGCCGCACGTAATCCACCTTATTTTGCAAAAAGAAAAAGTACCTAACCCGCAATTAAATCACAAAATCTTACAAAAATCATATTACTTTGATACAATATAATGGTAGAGAATAGGTAAAATAAGAGTTTACTGGTCATGCAATACTAGTCTTTCAATAAAATATCCAAAAAATGCCAAAAAGAATTGTTCATTATCTATTCGACGGGTATTTACTGATAATCATATAAGCAAAGCTCATCAAACTAGCAAACCTTATAAGACCACTGATAAACACAAAGAGATGCCGATTGCTTATCAATGTACGGGTAAATCTTAACAAATCATAAAGAATATACTGCCATTGCCAAACTAGAGGTAAAACTTATCAAATTACAAGCAAAGTAAGCGAAAATCATTGATTCGTTAAAAAGATTTTGATCCCCAGCTAATCGATAGAACCAAAGAAAGTACTGCTTGCTATTTCCTATGAAGTAATACTGAATAAAAATTTTTTGTCCATTCAAATCCAAAATAAAAACGATCGTAAATACCAATTGCAATCATGCATCCTAAACAGAAATATTTCCGGCTGAAATTCCAAATTTCTTTTGAGGAGTCTATTTAAATGATAAGAAGAGTTCTAAATTTGCTGTCAAGAATTTTTCCAACATACAACACCCATTAAAAAACACAAACGTTTTAGAACAATAGTTATGAAATAGACAGAACCAAGATAATCACTTGCTTTCATATTCATGACAAGCTAATTTTAAGCTAGCGAAATATCAAAAACATTACAAGCACATTTCTTTGGGTAGATAAAAGCAGCTCACTGAGTACAGCACCTTCATACTACTGTGCTGCAAATGCTTTTTATATTCGTATAATATTGTGAAATACCATATTATACAGGATTCGTTCCCTGAGGATAGATTCCGGGAGACGTAGCTGTTGTAGTACTAATTGTGCTGGTCTTATCACCCTCGATTATCACCGTTCTCAAGTTCAGAAGCAATCCATTAGGAGTAGCACGATACAGAAGGATTGCCAAGTAACCACACATTGCAGCGCAAAACAAACAAAGTAACTGAAAATTTCGAAAATTGACATTTCAAAATTAAAGAAAGGGATACAATTTTAAATAAAAGGATAATAAAAAAAAACTTGCCGTGGCGAAAAGGTAGACGAAGAAAAGGCTGGCAGCAAAGCCAATCGATGAAAACATGCTAATCATGCAGATCAACGCCGAAATGCAGAAGAAGAAGAAAAAAAGCAACGAATATACGAAAAGCTAAAATGAAAAACGAAAATTTTTGATAAGTGCATAAAATGGTACGGAAAAAATAAAATGATAAATTCATGAAAAAAACACTCATTTCCTTAAAAAGTAAATTCCTAACAAGGAAAATTCTACTTTATATTCTATTATTCCTTGCATATCTTACGTAATATTCCTTACGCTGAATGCTCTAATAGTTTTTCTAAGTATGTCAATTTGAAATGCGCTTTAATCCTGAACTACTTCATCTCTCATCAAGCAAGTTCGGCAATAAATCAAAATTGACCCCATAATTTCAGAAATACGTTAGATTACGAAATATGTTAGATTCATGCCGCTTGAAACTGTTTTAGAAAATTTTAATAATGTATAACATCTAGCTATGTGACAGAAATAAACTTACCAGAAGCGCAAATGGTATAAATGCGGACATCTGTCCGATATTCAACATTTGTCTTTGAAAACCAAGTAGATGGACAATCCACGTAATTAAGCCGACAAAAAATATTGTCCAAGCGCAGAAAAATACGAACGATGTCCCACTGTAGTAATACGGTGAGCAATACAAAATGATCAGCAATATAAAGCAACCAAACTGAAAGTATATAAAATTGGCAAAACATGGTAAAGTTGTGCCGTCAAATTACATGACTTACATTACTTCCATGTAAAAAGTACGAGTGAATTGGATCTAATGTGTTATATAAAACCGTTGCTTTTACATTCACGCATGATAGGAAGATAGAGGATAGAAGTGAGGGATAAAAATTAAGAAAAGTTACTGCGAAACATACCCACTGAGCTGTCATAACTATGCCAAATGGCCATTTCTTCGGAAATTCTTTATCGATTTCGACCATTTCGAAGAAATCTGAAATATGCTAGTGACTTTAATTAAGGGCTTCAAATATCAAGAAAAGTTGTTAGTCGAAAAAATCCACAATTAAATAGAAAATACGACCATATCTATAATGGCACCAACTAGGAAAAATTCACAAAAATTCACTTCCCTTTATTTCAAGCATTACATGAATTAAGCAATCTTTTTGAATCTCAGATGAATTACAGCCTTAACTCCTTCTGATACTAATTCAACCTGCGTAATGTCTCACCCAAAATACACTTCTTAACATATTTATTGGAAGTTCAAGAAGTGAAATGCCAAGTGACCACTCAAAGTTACTTCTATTTTCTTCTACATAAATGTTATACAATTCCTTTCGTAATGATTGTTAATTAATATTTGGCCCTAAATCTGTCGACATCTGCTTAGTAAATATTTGCAATGTGCAATAACAGCGTTATCGTTTACTGTTATTTATTGATAGGTAAAAAGCAAACATATATATATATATATACGTTCATGTTTGTCGTACGTAACAAAACATGTGCTTACGTGCAAATAAAATAAAAAAGAAAGCGAAAGAGAGAGGGTAAAGTACATGTGTTCAGAAAGTTGTACAATTACCAAATGACATATGATGTCTGATGCTTAGTTGTAATGTTATGTAAGTATAACATGCAAAATACGAAAGGAAAAAATAATGCCTTATTATATACATTAAACCAAATCATAAACATTATTAAAACAGTGAATTTTGATCATTTGACAGCTAATACCGATCATTTCAGATCAACAAAATCTCTCAGGTTCATCCAGGTTTTTTGGTGGTACCAGAGAGAGAGAGAGAAAAAGAAGAGAAAAAGAGAAATGCAACAAATATCCGCAGGGAGCGAATGACATACTACCACCAGTCACAACTGGAACTTAGAGCGTAGAGGGAAACGAGTTCTCGGAAGGGAGATAGCTTTTTTTCACGAGACGCGCTACGAAACTCGTAACGTCTCCTGGTCTTCATTACTTGTCGTTACAACTGAGTTCGTTAGAACAGTAATGGATAAATGAATGATTAGGATTGGTGATGATTGATTAGGATAATGATGACTAATGATTAGGATTATCCTAACTGTTTCAGATTTCGCTACGAACAAGATGCTTCTCCTATCTTTCTCGTTAAAATTGTAGTGTTCAATGTTATTGACAAAGGAATACATTCTTCCTCTCTCCTTTTGTTACGTGCGTAAAATGTTCCTGGAACAAAGATGAAAGTAAAGTTATTTGTAATCTGTCGATAAAATACCTTTCTATGCGTGTATATCAACTTGTTTATTTGCGTTGTTCAAAGCACGCTGCATATGATGTTAATATGTAATTGCGTAATTCTTTACTAAAGTCATCGAATGTTTGCTTTCAGAACATCTCATATTAAAGGAAAACGACAAGAATTTTCTAAATTTTAAAGTATTTCTGAAATTGAATTTTTAGTTAACTTATGCATGTCAAATATCCATAACTGCATCCTCATGATATATCTCTTGCAGATGGATGATTTATAAATTAAACGGTTAAATTGATCGATCACCAAACGCTTTGGTTAACGTTTTGGTCCATAGTTACAAGTTCATAATGGATTTCCGGGCTGAAGTTTGTACATTTGCAAGGCCAGCGGTTAGTACTGGAGTACCATCATTGCATATTTTTGTTTCTCACCAAGAAAATTTCAGTTTAATTCTGTGAATTGAATTCATGCAGGCAATTTATTACAGCAAATTGAAAAAATGCACATCAAAAGGCCATTAATCATTTCAGACATTTTATGTGACGGCATCGTGCATTTCATTTAAAAAAGGACAATTTAGTTCATTTAGCGAGATTTTTGTCTAACATTAGTATTAGTATTGTAATTTCGTTTCTGCGTGATCTGTAAAAATCGGTTGAAAAAATCTTGCTCAAAGATGCCCGTGAATTGGAAGAGGAATTATTTTTGTTTGACGGAACCATATAAAGTGATTGACGAAATATAATCTAATTTAACTACGAACTTCCTGAACTCTACTTTAAATTTGGTGTATGGTCTTGTCAAATGTCATTTCACTTTCCGGAGATTTTCTGTTTTATACGACGATTAACTTGGTAATAGTGGTGATAAGACAATAATAATTTGCATAATGTGAATTGCAACTGTTGCAAATCAGCCGACTCATTGCTTCAGGCAATGTTCAAAACATTACGACGCCTTCACGGTTACAATTTGGAAAATCGTGGTTTGAATGATCTCTCCGAATCATTTCAAAATTTTGTTACACGAGCCAGATTCTTCAGTATTGGTCGATTAAGGTAAGTTGTAGTTGCTGGTTAGAATTAGTCCAGCGTGGTCAAATTCTGCATGTAATGAATGATGCGCTGATAATCGTTAGTGGTAATTTGCATTTCGTAATGAACAATTCTTTTAGTTTATTATTTGGTTAAGCTTGTAAAATGTAATGTAAGCAGAGAAATCCTAACTTTGAGGCATCAGGTTTCGATTGGGATGTTTGATATTAGTGCAAACAGTGTGCTCTTTAGTTGCTAATTCATTATAGTAACTTAAAGTTTTCATTTATTTATGTGGCTTTGTTTGCATGAAAATGCTTTTTAAAAAATTTTTAAAGCATTTTATTATTTTAGGCGTACATGGTCTCATTCGGCAGTCGAATTTTTGAAGTATCGACGCTTATTACCGATGCTTACATCTGATGAACAAGGCTTTAATACCGTTGATTGTATGGATTTTTTAATGAAGTCTAAGAGTTACAGATTTAATAGAATTGTGACAAAAATTTGTTGCTTTTATTTTCTCCCAGGAATAAAGGAAGTCTTGAGCAAAGCTTTCATTACCTTGATTAGGACTGCTATTATTTCCTATGCTTCATGGCATACTCATAAATTTTCAGGTGATTTAAATCTTGGTCTATCGATGTCAGCGTCTCCGACACGGACAAGAGAACGTGGCAGTTCACTTCAGCGGTCAAAAAATGAAGATCGAAAAATTCTCGTTACGAATATTTCCCGACGTGTCACGGCTAATCAGCTTAAATCATTTTTTTCAAAGTTTGGCCATGTAAGTTTCTCCATTATGTACATATTTTGATTTATATCCACATTTTCTTGGAAATAATTAGTTTGATTTTATTCCGTATTATCCTCATGGTACTTCAACCTCATAATATGTCGACATTGGGGGGGCGATGCATATTGCTTTAGTGAACGATCCTCATGGTATTGCAGCTTACATTGAATTCCAGCATGCGCTTTGAAGAAAGCAATGTCGCTAATTATTTGGATAAAGTTCCAGTTTGAAAAAAATCTAAAAATATTTAATTTTTGTGATATTTAATCTCATTTGTTTCTAGTCGATGTCTTGGTTACCATGCTGCATGCTATAGCTAATAGTAACATTGCTTTTCACCTTCATTGAAAATAATTCTTATCAAGAAACATTGTTTAGCAGTCAGGTAATAGTAGGATACATTATGGAGTACAATGAATTAAGACTTTTTTGCCTCATCTCGTAGAAGAGATACACTAATTTGTTTTCCATTTGTCCAATAATTTCGTTCTTTGCAGATCACAAGTTGTTATATGCCGTCGGAAGAACGTGAGCATTCGCTTTACGCTACATTACCAAAAAAATCTCGATCAAACTTGACTGCCTGCATCACCTTCAAGTTAGTCAGAAACAGTTGCTTCGATTATGTTGAACTTAGCAAAACCGATTTCGAAACATAAAGTGTTCTATTTTGCAGAAAGACATAAGCAGTAATTGAAAGTGTATGATTATTACTTCTCGGAAATTTCAATGATTTTAACTGGTTTTATTTATATTTATTTTTTTATTTATTTTTTTTAGTATTTATTTTTTTTAGATGTGTGGAAGGTGCAGAGCGAGCGAAGAATGCAGCTCCAGATGAACTGAGATTTTATGATCAAGTGATGTTGATATCACAGGTGAGCTACAGCTTTTCGCGTTCTTCAGAACTCTTTCGACTTTTAAATCAAAGAAAAGTATTTTGTTGTCGGTATTTTTGAAATCAGTGGTACTATCATCTTGTGCAGAAGATAATGCAGTCAGAGTTGTTAAACCTTATTTCACATTTCTATTATTTGCAGTAGAGTGTCGGGAATCTTCCTTTCAGTAAAATCTAGGTAGGTTAGTAATTGTAATCATTTCTGAGCAAGTGTGTCTTTTTATTTCAATTATTTATAAATTTCTAATTAACGATGTTTTGTTTGGTGGTGTAAACAAAAAGTTTTTTTGAAGGTTGCATATACTTTGCCAGGAATGCCTGTTTAATGAAACTGTTGCTGAAAATTTTAGGAGTTCACCCTATTAATTGTCAAAAGTTCAACTTAAAGCAGACACTTTGTTTTTTCTTGCGGATGAAATAGACACAACCATTCAGTGGCGATAAACCTTAGGAAGAATGAATAATGATGAAAATAATTAGCTTATATAAATACCAGGGTTGCAGAGCCGTGTAAATTACAGTGCATGCACAATGAATGAAAAGTATAACATATTTCTTGCTGAAATTTTGCTTTTTTTCAGTTATCAATTAAAAAAAAAGTGTCACTGACAATGTAATTGAAAAGACAAATGTCTGTCCAGTCTCAGGTATTGTTTAATTGGTGTTTGTTGCGAATAAATTATGCTTAAAATAAATTTCAATTTTTTCGGGAAAAATTATCGGGACTGTCGTTTAATCTATTGCAAATTTTCATTTTCTTTTCTATAGATTTTAGCATTACTTGAGGAAGAAAGAAGTGAAATAGGAAGGAAAGCATATATAATCCTTTTTGATGTTAGGTCGCTATAAATTCAAGAAATGCACTAAATATAATAATGCACTGAATATAATAAATATAATAAAAAAAAATGTAGTTAATAGCATTTATAGTCAGATTTAAAAAGGGTTGAAATACTACTCCATGATTTAATTATTTGTAAGTTTTCGAACGACCAAAAATTTGTTTCATGGTACAAATAATCACGTTTATTTCATCCAGATGATCTTTCGAACAATGTAGCAACAGTTGCATCGCGGAGCACATCATTATGTCCATTAGCAGATGTTGCATCGCTGGTTCGATTTTGTCAAAAAATTTAAATTTTCTATAGTTTATAGGAATTTCTATTTCATTCGACAAAAGACATTAGACTTATGACCACTTAGTGCGGTATGTCTTTTATTATCAATGAGAATAGTGCAAATCCGCAAAATGTTTCTTTAATCTATCCAGTGGTTTGTGGTGCTCACCCGACTCACTCATCTCTGTTCCAAAATTTACAAGGATTGTATTTTTCTTTGGGGTCCTTAAAATTTGCCATTTAACTGGATGTATTTTCAGTTTGCAAATCGATTGTCAATGTCAGTACTGCCAGCAAGGATACTTACATTGGTCCTGTCTTTCTTGCCACCAATGGATAGAATTCGATTAGAAAGAGTAAACAAAAGCTTTTTGGAATCGTCCATTGAGGTTTCTTTTGTCGTTGGGTTATAGAGCTCTGTTTGTATCCTTACTTAAAATACGAAATTCACTAAGGTATATTTTTTAACAAACAAGATGAAGGAAGGGTCAGCCATACAGAAGAATGCACTTGTATCAATACCGCTGGATTGCACTTAGATAATGATTTTTTTTTTTTATTTTCACTTCTTTGCTTCTCCTCCTGTTTTTCTTCCGCTATTTTTTTGGCTAACAGACGGTCGGGGATGGGGAATTGATGTTCCATCACCCAGAAATAATTAGAAGAATAATATCCTACGTATTTCTAATTTGAGTAGGATATTCTTCCTCGCAATATATGATCCTAATATTGTTCTTTTTTTTATACTGAAAAAGGACTCTCAAAAATATAATGGATATAATGGATTTGTGAATATACTAATCATATTTTCAAGAATGAGTGTATATTGATTGATTTTTTTTAAAATTACTGATCGAATTACAGACTTGGAAATGGAACCACACATTGTCATTCGCAAGTGATAGTGGTTTTGGATGCACTTTCTCACCACTAAATCCCCTTCGAAATACTCATCTGAAGGTAATGTATCATTTTCCTACTTCTACAAGTAATCTTTTGAACTCGTTATACTCATCCTAAAATATACTATTTTTCTTTAAATATATGTATCTAAAATATACTCAAAATTGGTTGAAAAAATCTCGATATGCTTTGCAGTGAGCAGTTTGAACAAAAAAATGCATGATCTCATTTATTCGACCGAAATTTTTCCGAAACTTTTCAATAGGTACTTTTGAAGTGAAAGAAGGAGATTAATGATTATTATAGGCGCTTTTGTCTCGTTGTGGTATACATTTGAAGTGTTTGGATTTATCCGGAGTGGTACATTTGCTGGATGAGCAAGCCTTTCACATTATTTCATGTTTATGTCCAAATTTAGAAGAGGTAAGTTTCAAGAAAGACTTTTTCCTATTTTCCTAATCTTCCATTCTTACATCTTTGATAGGATCTAAGGAAAACTGAGAAGCCAAGTTTCAAACGTCGGAAATTTTTCTACTGCTTGAAGTTTGATTCTCTGTCCTGCCTGTCTGATATAAAGTTATGCAGCTATTTTAGGTAAATTTATCGGGACTCGGTGGTCACTGGCAAGCAGTGCGTACGTTTGGTGAACCATTAACGAATTTGCGGTCCGTTACATACAGAGATATGATAGATGTGAGTGATAAGACAATATGGTATTTGTTCAAGCCATTAGGTATGAATATGCGTGAAGTTGATCTTCGAGGTTGTCGACGATTCAAAGGTCGTTGCTTCCGACTGTTTGGAGGTTCTTTGGAAAAGGTGAGTCATTGTTTTTTGAAGGACATCATTGTTTCAGAAATAGTAGATACATTTTAGATGCTTTCTATGAGTTAAAACAACTTCCCCTCATAAATGATATCTGCTGTTTGGTTTTGGAGCTAGGTACCATTTTTTACTTTATAGCTGATATGAAGTGAAGATTTTTTTTGAACTACAAACCGGAAATTTATAAAATAATCTTGCATTTGAGAGAAAGTAAAGGCCTAATTTGAACCTGGTTTTTAATGTCTTCCCAGATTTTACTTGATGGTTGCTGTCGTCTGGATAAACAGTCACTTGAAGAACTGTGTCTTAATTCACCGAATATAACTGAACTTCGATTAAGTTCCTGCCAACTGGTTTCTGATGATATACTCAGGTAGTTGAGAAAAAAAAGTTTTCCGTTGTATTTTTATAACAATACATACAATGTCGAAGTTTTCATTTCCGAATTCATATTTGTTTCATTAATGCACCGAACGCTTAAATCTCTCATTATTTCTGATAGCTTCCTTAGGTAGGACCATCTAAAGGTGTTTAAAATATGCTTTTCTTAAATCGTAGAATTCCCTTTAAAATTCCTGCTTTGTTCGAATTTTTCATCTCTATGAGAACAAGTCCCTAATGTTACCAAAAAAATTGGTGTGGAGTCTGACTGTTCTTATCAATATTCTCAATTGTTAAGAGTGCAAAAAGAGTGTATGGGTTAAAAACTTAAGGATACTTCGGAAGACCCTGAAAGTTCTCCAAATTTTGCATAAATTAACAGAGGATTCACTAGAGGAGTTGACAGTGAATAAGTAAATTATAATGTATAGATTGTTGAAGTCTGTATCAAGACTTACGAAAACTTAACTTGCAGTTTGATATCGAGAAGCTTAATATATTTAAAGTCGTTTGCTTTGTGTGGTGACTGTTTCCCGAACTTAACTTCAGTGGGTCTAATAGCTTTGTCACGACTGCATTATCTCTGCGAGCTGTCGTAAGTATTTCCTCATTGTTTATAGAAAATTTGCTGTTTTCTTGCTCAGAACAAGATTGATTTTATCCAGTCTTAACATCAAAGAATTTGATTATGTTGAAACTATTTTGTTAAACGACTCTTCGCTAATTATTTCATTTCGAATTTAATAATAATGTGAAGTTAAAGATTAGAGTTTGATTTTAAAACTTGCAAAATTTAATGCCATTCGTCAGGGTTTACTTTACGAAGAATTTTAGGTTAGATTACAATTCAGCTGTGTCGGATGAAGTACTGGAAGAAATAACTGATAATCTTCCGCATCTTCACCATCTTAGTCTGGCATATGCTGGCTCCGATACAACGATAACCGAAGAAGTTGTTATGAAGATTGGAAAATTAAAAGAACTTCAAACAGTAAGTTTTTTAATTTTGACTAAATTTTAAACGTGAAGGAATTTCATGTCTAAAATTTAAATATTATAAGTAAATATTAAAAATAGTAATGCACTTTTTTTAGCTTGATGTTAGTTCGCTAGCAGCGATAACAGATAGCTCTCTGTCGACAATTGTTTGCGGTTGTTTAAAGCTAGAGATTATTCGAACCCGTTGTTGCACATATTTGGGTAATGAAGGTGTTTGTTCGTTAACGACGCTGAAAAATTTGGAGCATGTTGATCTGAGTGGTTGTCTTCTTGTCAGTTATTTGAAATTTTTTTAAAGATATAAATCTTTGATCATTGCCATGCTTGATCAGAATATGGCTTTTCAACGTTAATTTTTCCATTTCATTAATTTTGCTAACCTGTCTATCCCATTTTTTTAAAAAAAAACCTTCCATTTAATGTTTGCATTTAAGAACAGTAAATAGGAATATAAAGTCATAAATATGATTGTAAAGTGATGATTGATAAACTTTTTTCAGGTAACTTCAAATGGCATTCAAGCGTTACTTGATGCTTTTCCAACATCTGAACATTCTCAGAAACAGAAGGTTACCGTTCTCCTGCTTAAATTATTTTTTCTGAAACTCACCTTGCTAGATAGCATTTTCATTGAAAATATTCGCCTGATGTTTCTCTGGAAAACTTACTATATACAATTTTACATCATTTTCTTGTCCTTTGTTTGCTGCTTCATCTTGTGCTTATATTTTCACGTTTTTTACTTTTCGTAGATTTTATTGCAATGAAATTTTTTTTTTCTTATTAAAGCAGGACAAAGTTATAGATGATCACAGTGGTTATTGGAGGAACAATATGTAATGTTCAATCCTTACGCCAACGTAATAATAGTCGTGTGATACTGGATACAAGCGATTATAGTGTTTCATGTAGTAATACAGCAAACGAACTTTTTCCTCTTAGCTTTCTTGGTATGCATCACTGTTTAGTATGAATAAGGAGACATTGCATAATTGTAGCTTTCTGAAATACTGACGGAGAAGCTATTTGAGAGGAAAGTAATTTATATATATAAAAAAGTAATATTTGCGATGTAGATTTAACAAGTAGGCAGTTAATATATTAATTTAATTAGCAAGTTTGTTAATTACGAGTTTTTACTAAATGACGAAAAATTCAAAATAAATAGTTAAAAATGAGTAGTTTTCATTGTAATATTTTTTCTAAAAGCTAATGTAAGATAACGTCTGACATGCTGTTATGTTAGTGTTAGTACTGTTTACAGGCATTGTACTTGGATATTTCGTTTAATTTTTGCTTCCTTGGGTAATTCTTCAAAATTCGATCTTGATTTTATTTCAGATACGAGGAATAATTCGGGTGAAAGTTCAGATGATGAGTTCGATGCATTGACTACTCACCGTAAGATTACTTGTCTCTTATTATATAGTGATTAATTGATTTCTGTTGATCATTTATCCCATTGTAAACTTAGGAGCCATATGTTAGCCGGATCTACATACCGGATCATGAAAATTCAACCACCTATCAAAAGACGAAAAAATACTTTTGCTAGTTTTTCTCATTTTCATTTCTCATATGACTAACACATCAAAGACCATGGTTATTTATCTTCTATCTATGATTCATTACTTTGCTCAATTGAGGAATAAAGAAACGAACTGTTTTGCAGGTTCATTTATAATAGATGCTTTGCGCGACGTGGAAGATGATTCACCAATGGAAACACAAGAATCGATTGATGAATGGGCTGAACGTGAAGCTCTCGATTTAGGCCTTATAACTAAGTGAATCATTTTAGAATTTGGAAAGCCCTGTTAAGCCTGTTTTACGAGAGCTTGTAAGGATAAGGATCATTTTAGGATTTGGTAAGTCTTATTAAGCTGTTTTACGAGAGTTTGTAAGTTTATTCTTTTTTCCAGTTTTCTTTTTAAATTAGTTATATTATTGTTTATCTCACCATCATTATCTATTTCATTATCTCTTTTTATATTATTTTCTATGCAGAGATTTGTGGAATAAAGAAAGGTTTGCTTACTTTGAATTCTTTTTCCATTTTTTAAAGATTTTTTCGCTAGTTCACTTTTTAGTAGTAAAAGGTATTTACTTTATTCATTAGTCGTAGTTATTTTGTACATCGCTATTACTCAGTTGCTATTCTGATAAGGTTTTGTTTTTCTTTTATTTCTTGCAGATTATAAGATCCTGAAGCTTTAACTGCGGAATCTTAGGAAGTAATCAAGAAATTTTATCAGATTCGTAGATCATATCATGGATTAATACAAATATTTGTTTAATGTCATTGTTTATTTGTTTGCTTAATTCTTCTTGTTTTTCGAGGAATTACGAATCAAATAAAATTTCTTTCTACGAATAATTTCTAAGATAGTTCCTAACATTCCAAATAAACATTTACGTCTTCTGAAGTTATTTTTATTGATGTCTGAATTATTTACTTTACTGTTTTCAAGCGATGCAAATGCTAATTCATTTATTTAAAGTCATTGCACTGTTAATTTGCTTTTTTTTTTAATATACTGGAAAAGACGCCACTTTTATTCAAACGGTTCATGTCCTGTTTTTTTTCCTTTTGTATATATATTTGTTTCACTTTTTAATAATGGTGATTTTAATTTTCAAAGCTCTTACTGTTTTTAATCCCGTAAATTCACATTAACTTACATCTTGCAAGATTTTATGAATTTTGGAATAAGGAACTGGGATGCCAAGTTACTAAAAGCTGCTTCATCTTCATTCTTTTTTTCCTTCGTTTTACACCAGCCATTCTCTCAGAAACCGTTCATTCATTTTTCCGATAATACGAAATACTCAATGTCAAATCCCGACAAATCCGATCTTTTCTTTATTGGATCAAAATGACTGTTTTATTGTATCGAAAAAGTGATGCTTTAATTTGTAAGTGCTAACGAATGATGTATTATTTATTTGAGTGATTGTTTTTTTGTATACATTGTTTAAAATGTTATTCTTATTTGCTACTTTTGAAATTTGGTAGTTTTCGAATTTATTTTAAAGATGACATAATTTTCTAGTTCATCTGATAGCTCTGGAATTGCGGTGAATGATTTTGTAAACGAAAAAGTAGAGAAAGTTAAATAATGGTAATTCGATTTTCGTGTATCCATATTTGTTGACATTTGGAGATAGGAAAGCTGTTCATAGCAAGAATATGTTGATCTCGATACATGAATGGTTGATTTCAATTAAGAAAATTGAAATTATCAAATTTGTATGAGGAGAAAGCTGAAATTTATAGTCATTAAAATATTCCGCTCAATCGATTCTATTAGTTTGCTTGGATTGTATTGTTAGGATTTAGGCTGAAATATTGGTTTTTGTTTCTGCTACCTGGAAACTTCTGAGGTAGAAATATTTCATTTCCTGAACCTATAAATTGAAAAGGAGTCAGAAAAGCTAAAATGAGAAAAAGGATTTTCAGTCAGTCTTAATCTTCATTTCAACTTGTATTCAGTACAAGAAAAATATTAGTGTAATTATCAGTGATGGTTTTTGTTCTTTTCGATTATAAGCATGAATATTTTTTTACGGAAAAAAATTATACGTAATAAATTGAAAAAAGATGGACTGGATCAATAATTCGCAGGATGGATTTGCGAATTTTGAAGTATATTCAATTGCGACATTTCCTTGATCAAAATTATAGGCTATTTCGTTCAAAACTTCCAACCAAATTCGCAAATCTATCCTGTGAATTATTGATCCAGTTTATTTTCTTTCAAAATTTGGCGAATTTTGAGGTTAGCAACAAAAAAAAAAAAAAGAAAAATGCAAAGAATGGAAACGTTTATTTATTAAGTCTGTCCTCATAGCACAAATCCTGCTAGGCTATTTTATTGTAGTCTTATGATGGAAAGATACAAATGGAAAAATGATAACAATAGAATATAAATTAAAAAAGAAAAACAATTACATTATGCTGTGACATTCGAGTGGTCACTTAGGATTAATACAATTTAAGACAAAAGTATCACTCATCTAAGTAAGTAATTTACAAGTTAGGTAATAAATAGATATTTAAACAATTAATAATAATTAGGTTAAGTCTATAAATTAAATTTTATTTGTAAAATAAATGCATTAAATGACAATTACTAATGTTTTAGACAAAAAAAAGGAAAGCAATTTTTT